ACCTTACTTAAATCGCAACCAAAAAAAAAAGACATACTCAATGTAGAAATTGTGGAAAGGCAGAAAGACATTAAGAAGAAAATGAAATTCATCCTTAATCTCATCAGCCAGGTACTAATTTTCAGGTGTAACATTTTGATATATCTTTATGTATTTTTTTTTGCCATACATACACTATGAGTTCATGTGACAGCTTTTTTAAAATTTAGCATTATTATAATTTCCATGTCATTCTTTTTGGCATCACTCTTAATGACAACCTAATCATTTTGACTCCTTGATTCTTAGTTGGGTTGTGACTTTTTGCTCTTGACTGACATTGGTGAACATCATTTTTCTTCATTCTCCCCTGAATTTTACATGTGTCTCTTATAATAAGAATCTGATTTTATGCCAGCAGAAAAGCAACTAGATGATGATATGGATACCTAATTCTAGAATGCATGATTATAGTGAAAAATGTTAGATTTAAAATTAAGTTTAATGTATTCTTATTTAGTATTAGTTATTGCTTCTGATATCTTTTATTTCTGTTCATTTCTTATGTAAAATTTTTGTCTGGCTACTAGGAAAACTAAAGGAGGAAACTGTCATATTTTTCCCTCATAGCATTGGTAACACATTATGCAGGAATGTTTACTTCTGTTGAATATAATTTTTTTTTTTATGTTGAGACAAAAACTCTTATGAGGAATTCTTTTCTAGAAATGTTTGATCAGTGGTGACTTCTTCCATGCACGTTCTATTGAATTCTTACAGTACAGTAGCCCATAATGCCTCAAGGCCCAACATTCAAATGCTTACCTTGGTTCCAATCTTGAATTGTCTTTTATTCTATTCTTCACAACATCTTTCAATATACCCGCATGCATCCACCCAGCCCTCTGCTTTCTCTCTTCACAGAGACCATACCTTTTCATTCCAAATGTGTCGAGGCATCATTTTGAATGAAGTTGCTGCTGACAGTATTATCCCTTATGCAGAACCTTCGCTGTCAGCCAGACTTACACTTGCTTATGGTGTTGATGGTTTGTGTATCACTATTCACTTTCGCTGATGTCTGACCAACATGCTAAGTGAGACACGTTGAAGAAGCAGCCTGCGGTCACAGGCAGAGGTTATTCCAAATGCCCTCTTGACTCCTTGGCAGCTATTTGCTGCACATCTTGCTAGTGAATTTGTACAGAGAGCATCTGTCACGTCCACAGCACACATAGCTCTGAGGTCACTGCTGTTAGCACTGTAATAGGCACTGGAATGTTTGCCTTTCGGAAGAGGAAAATTACATAGGGGAGACAGGAAGAGAGCAACTAAACACCTATCACTGGGACCAGAGAAGAGAAATTAGAGGCTGGAGCAAAGGTGGGGCAAAGGATTTCCAGGGGCCCTCAGGAGGGGAGGGTGAACAGGTGAGAACAGTACTGACGGATGTTTCTGATAGTCTCTACCTGCATCAGTATTACATTCAGAAGCGCAGACAGTAGGCTATCCAGAGTATTACAAAACTGAATAGAAGTTCACAAAATACTCCCGCTAACTAATGTGCCTGAGAGAAAGAAAATACATCATTGATTTGGGCAGTACTGGCAATGTTTTCTAGGCAGGAGCCTAGGATTTATGTCAACCTTTAGTCACTCCATTTCTGTTTGTGTGGGGTTTTTTTTATGGAAATTTAGAAATACAGAGAATAAAGATGGAAAATTAAATCTTCCATAACCCCACCATTCAAAGGCACTATTACTAACAATTTTGAAATATCTTTTTCATGTATTTCTTTTATAAATTTCAAATCTCTTAAGTATTTATATGGTTTTGAAACTTTTTTCATAAAACATTATATCATGAGATATTCTTTATGTTATTAATTTTATAAAAAATATTTTTTCAGTGGCAGCATTCTTTCTGTGCATCTTCCAGCATTGTTTAAACAATTCACCTACTGTTGGACATTGTTACCTTTTTTCATAATATGAATAATACTGTTCTATATATCCATGTAACATATGTATTCGTGTGTGTGTCTGTTTACCTAACTCCATGATGAAGAAGTGGGAGACTATTTCTGTATCAGTTCAGTCCAGTCACTCAGTCGTGTCCGCCTCTTTGTGACCCCATGGACTGTAGCACGTCAGGCTTCCCTGTCCATCACCAACTCCTAAAGTTTAATCAAACTCATGCCCATTAATTTGGTGATGCCATCCAACCATCTCATCCTCTGTCGTCCACTTCTCCTGCCCTCAATCCTTCCCAGCATCAGGGTCTTTTCAGAGTCAGCTCTTCGCATCAGGTGGTCAAAGTATTGTAGCTTCAGCTTCAACACCAGTCCTTCCAATGAATATTCAGGACTGATTTCCTTTAGGATGGACTGGTTGTATCCCCTTGGAGTCCAAGAGACTCTCAAGAGTCTTCTCCAACACCACAGTTCAAAAGCATCAATTCTTCGGTGCTCAACTTTCTTTATGGTCCAGCTCTCACATCCATGCATGACTACTGGAAAAACCATAGCTTTGTCTAGATGGACCTTTGTTGGCAAAGTAATATCTCTGCTTTTTAATATGCTATCTAGGTTGGTCATAACTTTCTTTCCAAGGAGCAGGCATCTTTTAATTTAATGGCTGCAGTCACCATCTACAGTATTTTGGAGTCCAAAAATATAAATTCTGCCACTGTTTCTACTGTTTCCCCATCTATTTGCCATGAAGTGATGAGACCAGATGCCATAATCTTTGTTTTCTGAATGTTGAGCTTTAAGCCAACTTTTTCACTCTCCTCTTTCACTTTCATCAAGAGGCTCTTTAGTTCTTCTTCACTTTCTGCCATAAGGGTGGTGTCATCTGCATATCTGAGGTTATTGATATTTCTCCCAGCAGTCTTGATTCCAGCTTGTGCTTCATCCAGCCCAGCATTTCTCATGATGTACTCTACATATAAGCTAAATAAGCAGGGTGACAGTATATAGCCTTGACGTACTCCTTTTCCTATTTGGAACCAGTCTGTTGTTCCATGTCTGTTCTAATTGTTGCTTCCTGACCTGCATACAGGTTTCTCAAGAGGCAGGTCAGGTGGTCTGGTATTCCCATCTCTTTCAGAATTTTCCACAGTTTTTTGTGATCCACACAGTCAAAAGCTTTGGCATAGTCAATAAAGCAGAAATAGATGGTTTTTTTGGAACTCTCTTGCTTTTTCGATGATCCAGCAGGTGTTGGCAATTTGATCTCTGGTTCCTCTGCCTTTTCTAAATCCAGCTTGAGCATCTGGAAGTTCACATATTGTTGAAGCCTGACTTGGAGAATTTTGAGCATTACTTTACTAGGATGTGAGATGAGTGCAATTGTGCAGTAATTTGAGCATTCTTTGCCATTGCCTTTCTTTAGGATTTGAATGAAAACTGACCTTTTCTAGTTCTGTGGCCACTGCTGAGTTTTCAAATTTGCTGACATATTGAGTGCAGCACTTTCACAGCATCACCTTTTAGAATTTGAAATAGCTTAACTGGAGTTCCATCACCTCCGGTAGCTTTGTTCATAGTCATGCTTCCTAAGGCCCACTTGACTTCACATTCCAGAATGTCTGGCTAGAACCAGAAGTGATCACATCATCGTGATTATCTGGGTCATGAAGATGTCTTTTGTACAGTTCTTCTGTGTATTCTTGCCACTTCTTCTTAATATCTTCTGCTTCTGTTAGGTCCATACCATTTCTATCCTTTATTGAGCCCATTTTTGCATGTCATGTTATTCTACAAGAAGGTGGTCTTATTTTACACTCCATGAGTAGAGAATATGAAAGCCCATCATTTCAGCACCCCTTAGCCAATATCCCATATCTTTTTTAAAAGGGGGCAAAAAGTATGTTTGCTTTTTTTTTGCAAAGGAGAATTATTTTCATAAAACAGGAACTAAAATTTCAAGCTAAGATTTCAGTTTTAAAAATTGAGAGAAAGATTAAAGACATTAAGACCATCAACAAACTATTAGCTAAAGGGCTTTTTTTAATCATTCAGAATTGTATATAATTTAAATTAGTTTGAATACCCTCTATAATGTTAAATCTTGACTACAGGAAAAGGAATTGTGATAAGGAATTTTTCACAATAAGGAATTGTGAAAAATCATACTTTAATTTAAAATTTAGGTCTCTGTCATACTTTTTAACTTCTAAAATGTTTTCCACTTTTGTGGGAGGTATGTGGTATAATTTTAAATAGCTCTCCATGACGTGCTCATACCTAATTAATTTCTTCCCTTTCCTCCTCAATCCTTAAGCCTACATCTGTGTATTCAAGTAGAGCAAAAGTTCTGTTCTCCAGTGATTAACTACTTGAATCATTTCAATTCAGGTTACTAACAGCAATGCACAGTTAAACAGAAGTCTTGGTTGAAACTATTGTTAAATTATACAGTGTCACTTTCATTAGTATCTGAGTTTCATAGTTAGGAAAATTTGCATTAAGTCAAATAAGTCTCCAAGTTACAGGGCTTGGACCTTAGAAATCATCACATATAGTTCTTTGATTTGATAATTGAGGAACTGGAAACTGAGACTGGTCCAGGCACATTTGGGGGACACTCAGCTGGACAGAGACTCTTCATCCTGGGTTCTGGCCCCTGTGGCCAGCTCCCTGCCAGGCCACAGTCCTCAGCCTCTGTCACCTGAGAGCTGAAACATCTGGTCCCTAGCCTCAATTCATAGCATACGTCTCTCCTGAGAAATATGTGTAAGAATACAATTCCTATTGCTTCTCTGATTATCCTTTCTAACTCCAACTTAACTCAATTTGTGGAGAGAACTGACAAATTGATAAGCCACATACATCAATTCCCTTTCAAGAGCCTTAGAACAGACTCAGTCATTTTGTAACACAGAAGTTGGGTGCTGTCACAGGTTCCAATTGAACTAAACTTTGCAGGCTGCTCTCGAGAATAAATACCTATGGAATAAATATGATTATGTGGCATCACACCATTCTTCATATAAGATATTTCTGTCTTTCTTACCAGATATCTGTATGCCCTTGGACAGAAGGTTTGGAAAAGATGGAAAAAACGTTACTTTGTTCTTGTTCAGGTAAGTACAGTTTTTTCCTGTCATATAATCACTGTAAGGCAATCAAACTTTTATTTGGGTTATATCTGTCAGTATCTACTGTATTAGACATTAAAACTGAGAAATTTAGAAAATATTTAATTCATTTTAAAATGAAAGTAGTAAGGCCATTCCAGTACAACTAACCTTTTTATTTAAAATAACTATTTTTTCAAGCCAAACATTTTAGTGAACTAAATGGCATTATTTTATGCTTTTCTGCACCTCTTCAATGTCTGGCTTAATAAAAATAGAATGCAGCTGTATTTTCAGATCAGCTTCTGCCTTCAATCTGTTGCAGTCTCAGGTGAAATTTAGCCTCTGGAAAACTCTACTATATGCTCTTGACAGAGTAAGTGTGAAACAGGCAAAGATGTTTAAACATAATTTTAAAAATGGTTTTGACCTCACAAGTCCCCTGAAAGGATTTTGAAGATCCCCAGGATCCCGAGACCATACCTTGAGAACCACTGCATTATTCTGATGTTTTATAGATAAAACTTAGTTCATAGAAACATGCCTTTTTAAGAAACTGTATCATATATATCACTTATTCAGAGGTACAGGTTTTTTAATTGCCTTGACTAGTGGATTTGTTTGTGATAGGATTCTGAATATAGGCAAATTGGCACAATGTACAGTTCAGTAGACTCTTGTTTTGTTTTGATGTTTGAATCATGAATGACCTTTGCTCATAGAATATACTCATTTAGTTAAAGTTACTTTAAAGAATAATTTTGAGTAATAGTCATTCCAGCTCATGATAAATTCAAGCTGTCTTATTCCCAATGAATATATATGAAAAGAGAAGCTCTCTTGGTATCCTTAACACAAAACAGTCTGTAAAATCTTACCGATTCCTATCCACACAGTATTGTTTTTATTCAGTTGCTAAGTCATATCTGAACTATTTTGCAAGCCCATGTACAGTAGCATTCCCCCAGGCTCTGTCCATGGGATTTCCCCAGACAAGAATGCTGGAGTGAGTTGCCATTTCCTCCTCCAATGGATCTTGCAGATCCAGGGAATCTTCCCAAACTTGCATCTCCAGCATTGGCAAGTGACTTCTTTACCACTTGAGCCCCAGGGAAGCCCTACTCACATATTAAGCAAGTATAGACAAGATCAGGTTAACATGGTGATATCCCAAGGAAGAAAAATCATTTGCTATCTTCCAGAAATAAAGTCACCTATCTACTGCTGGATAATAATTATTTTATTGATGTACCATAATAGCATGGTAACTTCATGAAAGTGTAAATTTTTAATCAAAAGTGGGTTTTTTCCCCGCCTGGGTAAAGTGTAACTTTTTCTTATGTAAATAGAACTGACAATCCCCTGCTGGTCCAGAGGTTAAGACTCCAGGCTTCCATTACAAGGGCCCTTGGTTCAATCCCTGGTTAGAGAAGCAAATACCACATGCCATGCAATGCAGTAAAAAATAAATAATAACAAAATTTATAAATAAATAAATAGAACCAATATTTGGTCAACCAGATTAATAAAAGATGCACATACATTTGCACACACACATAGACTATTTTTTATATAAAACCCACACATTTGCTTTGAGTAAGGGGTTCATGTTGGTAGTTCTCAGTGGTCTGTCCTCTAAAAGTCACACCCATAAGGCATCTTGTTGGGTTTCTAGGCTTAATTTCTTTACACTGGCACAAAAATTTAAATGCATTTACTAGGCAGTTTGAGCGCATATCTTTTTACATTTTTATTTTATTTCCACTTATAGATTTTCTCACCTACATCTAATTTAGCAAGTTTGTGTTAGTGACTTGTCTTTGTCAAATCTTTCCAAAACATTCAAAAGATTTTTCATAAAAACTGCAGCTTCTTTTTCATGGTCATATATCATGCATTTACACAGAATATAAGTTCTCATCCTATAAGTTCAGTAGCTGATGTTATTGGCCTAATCAAACACTACTGATTCTTAGTAAGCATAGAGTTGAACTGGTGGAAATAAGTATAAGAACACATGAGAATATCACCCAGTAACCACAAATTTCAACATGTCATATGTATTAGTCAGTATGGTTTTTCAAGAGCAGTTTTAGGTTCACAACAAAATCTAAGGGAAGGTACAGAGATTTCCTATCTATCCTCTGTCCCCACATAAGTTCCTCCACTATCAACATCACTCATCAGAATGGTACATTTGTTACCAAGAATGATCAACACTTGACACATCATCTTCATCAAAAGTCCATAGTTTTTATTAGATTTCACTTTTGGTGTTGTACATCTGTGTATTTGAACAAACATACTGTTTATCACTGTAATATACAAAGCATTTTGCTCCCTTGAAAATCCTCTCTATTCTGCCTATTCATCTTCACCCTCCCACCTTTGGCAACCCCTGATCTTTTTACCATGGGTTTGCCTTTTCCAGAATGTCATAGTTGGAATCTTGCAGCATGTAGCCTTTACTGATTAGCTTCTTTCACTTAGGAATTTGCATTTAAAGTTTTTCCATGTTTTTTCCAAGGCTTAAAAGCTCATTTCTTTTTAGCACTGAATAATATTCCATTGTACAAATGAAGCACAGTTTATCTATTTACCTACTGAATGACATCTTGGTTGCTTCCAAATTTGGGCAATTATGAATCAAGCTGTTATACACATTTGTGTGTGGGTTTTTGTGTAGACATCTTTCCTGCTTCTTTGGGTAAATACCAAGGAGCATGATTGCTGGATCATATTCATTATTTTTAAAGAAAGAATCCTAGAGTGTTCTTTGTGTAGAGATCTAGTAAAGCAACAGTAGGCTAAAAGAGTTTCTAATATACATTGTTTTAATACGAAAATTAGGCCTTAGTAAATCAGTTTTGAGAGCTCAGATGGACACCTTATGCTTCTAGTCTGGTAATGTTCAGGGTAATCCTTTGCTCCTTACCTTATTTTTTGATATATGATCACAAGAATCAAGTTACAGAGCAGCCATGTATATGTTCATTATCACCCCATAAGAGGCTTTAGAAATAAAAGAAGAATTTTTTCTTTTATTCAAAAAATTCAAAAAAAGAATTTGAATGCTTTGAGATCATTAATTGTTCTTTACAGAACATTAACCATGTCTTTGGAGAGCTGGAAAGTTCTCCATGTAACAAAAATATGTTTAACATTTTAAAGGCAACCTCCAGTTTAAACCAAAGGAGGTAAACCTCTATACTCCATAATTAAAATTTAGGATAAACACCACCAAACTGTCATTTCAAACTGTCAATTCAGATGTATTCTACCTGACATAGCATCTTGGAATTTGAAGTCATATTTAAGTATTGTGAAAGTGTTAGTCACTCAGTTGTGTACGACTCTTTGCAGCCCCATAGACATAGCTCGCCAAGCTTTTCTTTCCATGGGATTCTCCAGGGAAGAATACTGCAGTAGGTTGCCATTCCCTTCTCCAGGGACTCTTCCTGACCCAGGAATCAAACCCAGGTCTCCTGCATTGCAGGCAGATTCTTTACTATCTAAGCCACCAGGGAAGCATTGTATCTTTATACAAATATAAGCGTATACATGTATTCACACAGAGAATCCCATGCCCAAGTGTATTGAGATTTACATGCCAGTACTCTGGCAACTCTTTTAAGTGTTAAATATAATTGAATCATCCTTTCAATTCCAAATGTAATGGGAAAACGGGTGTACACACTTCAAAATCAAGATGGGTATGTATGGAGATTCAGCAGAAGGACTCATTGGGAAGTAGTGGGTCATTTTATCAGTATCTTTAAAGATAGCTCTCATTCTATTGGCACATGGCTTGTGGATCCATACCTGCAGACTGCACTATTGAAAGGTGAGGGAGTCGTTTCCAGGAGGACAGTGTACCCCTGCTGTGTCTGCTGCCGCCGTCGGCAGAATGGTGCTCTGGTGATAATGTGAATCTCATCACCACTCGTGAGTGTGTATTATCCGAGTGATGGAGCTGGAGGTCTAGCCATCAGCCCAAGAATTTGTGCTCATAAAAATTGATTGAGAGTCTCATTTGCTCAGCTGCAACGTCGTTGTTCAAAGTGAACACTTGCAGAGCTGCTGAGGTGAAGAGACTTTCCAGAGACTCTTGTATCAACATTTAAATCTGAGTTGAAAATGGGAAAATGAATTACTTATCATTGTGGGGTGTTATCTGAGCTAAGTAAGATTAGTTTGGACCCCATTTACATTCTAAAGCCGGTATGCTTACAGTATTAAAAAGATTTTTCATGCTTTTTCTAAGAGGCTGCATTTGTTTCTGATGAAGGTAAATTTGGGTCCAAGCCAAACTGAAAGAACAATGATTTTGAGGAATATGTTGGAAATCTTCCCAAAACTTACATGTGTTTTTATTAAACTTATATGTGTTTCTTGTTAATTTTTCTTAAGCATATTCAGTGTTTTAGTGTTACATTTGGAGGATATTATTGATGTAAAGTACTTATGACACTAGTATGTTTTAGTTCATTGTAATAAACCATTTAATGGCTTTAAAACTCCATATTTGTATCTACAATTTAAGCAAACTGAATTATTTCATAAATCTGTATTCAGCTAATACCTCCACAAATAACTGTATGCCCTCAGATGCTGCATATTTTGTGGTGATATAAAAATTCCTGAAGCACTCCCCTATTAATACAACTATTGCTATCTTTAATATTTATTATGCAAATATGGCAGTCATTTATGCAAAGCACTTTTTTACCACCACACTATCTCTTTTAGTCTTCAAAATAAGATTTGAAGATAGGTATTATTAGCTCCTGGAGAAGGAAATGACAACGCACCCCAGTATTCTTGCCTAGAGAATCCCGTGGACAGAGGAGCCTTGTGGGCTGCCATCTATGGGGTCGCACAGAGTTAGACATGACTGAAGCGACTTAGCATGCATGCATGCATTATTATCCCCATTGTACAGATTAACTTGATATACAAAGAGGTTATATATTAATAATTTGGCCAGAATTATACAGTTAGTATGA